CTAGGGGATCTTCTCAACCTGCAGACTGAACCCAGGTCTCCCACATTGCAGGCAGATTCTTTACAGATTCTTTGCCATCTGAACCACCAGGGAAGCCCATGAATACTGGAGTGGGTAGCCTATCCCTCCTCCAGGGGATCTTCCCCACCCAGGAATCAAACCAGTGTCTCCTGCATTGCAGGTAGATTCTCTACCAGCTGAGCTACCAGAGAAGCCCTGGTGTAGAGATATTTCATTGTAGGTTTAACTTTAGACTGTTTGATAACTAACGATGCAAAATATATTTTCAACGCTTATCAGCTGTCTTCTTTTGTAAAGTGCTGTTCAAGTACTTTTGCTTATATCTTAAATAAGGTTATCTGTCTTTTCAAGTTTCACAGATGTTATTCATACATTTGGATATGAGTCTTTTACAAGATATATATATACACATATTATATATATTGAAGATGTTTTCTTTTATTCTATGACTTGCTTTTCCACATTTTTAATGGTATATTTCACTGAAAACAATTTGTTACTTTTAATGGTGCCCAATTTATCAGTTTTTTTACCTTTGTCATCCTTGGTTTGAGTCCTATTTTTAAAAGTTTCTCATGACTCAAGTTATTGTAGATATTCTTCTGTTATTTCCTAGAAGCTTCTAATCTGCCTAGAAGTTATTTTCATGTGGTATAAGGTAAGGTCATGATTCATATTTTCCACATACACATACAGAAATACTTGTTAGAAAAAAATCTTTTTCTCACAGCAGTGGTATAATTGTCAAAAATCAGTTGGTCTGTACACGCGCAAAGTTTCTGGACTCCTCCTGTTCTGTTTCATTGGTTTATTAATATTTTTATGTTCCTGTGTAATACCACATTGTCTTTATACTTAATCTTGTGTAACACCACATTGCTTTAACTATGACTTTATGGTGGTATATTTGGGAATTCTCCAGCTTTGTTCTACATCAGGGGTTCTCAAACTCCACACTACTGACATTCTAAACCAGGTACTTCTTTGCTTGGGGGCTGTCTGGTGCATTGGTCCCTCAAATCCTAACTGTCCTGGTTCTTCCTGGGTACCTTTAAATATTGTTTTGTTATGTTCTGTTATACTTTATTCAGCTTTTATAATTGCCCCTTATAGGAGAGTTGATTGATACAAGCTTCTTCATAGCTAGGAGCAAAACTTCTGGAGTAAATTATTAACTTTTTGCCTAAGTCTAAGCCTTGCATAACATGATTTCAAATAAATGACTTTCCTTAACTTTTCCTTAATATCACACAAACATCTGCATTTTTTAAAAAAATGATGTGTAAGTCACAAATAAACTAATTGGATCATTTAAGCTGGAATCAAGATTTCTAGAAGAAATATCAATAACCTCAGACAGATATGCAAATGACATCACCCTTATGGCAGAAAGTGAAGAAGAACTAAAAGCCTCTTCATGAAAGTGAAAAAGGAGAGTGAAAAGTTGGCTTAAAACTCAACATTCAGAAAACTAAGATCATGGCATCTGGTCCCATCACTTCATGGCAAGTAGATGGGGCAACAATAGAAACAGTGAGAGACTATTTTGGGGGGCTCTAAACTCACTGCAGATGGTGACTGAGCCATGAAATTCAAAGACACTTGCTCCTTGGAAGAAAAGCTATGACCAACTAGACAGCATATTAAAAAGCAGAGATATTACTTTGCCAACAAAGTTCCATCTAGCTAAGGCTATGGTTTTTCCTGTGGTCATGTATAGATGTGAGAGTTGGACTATAAAGAAAGCTGAGTGGCAAAGAATTGATGCTTTTGAACTGTGGTGTTGGAGAAGACTCTTGAGAATTCCTTGGACAGCAAGGAGATCCATCCAGTCCATCCTAAAGGAGATCAGTCCTGAATATTCACTGGAAGGACTGATGTTGAAGCTGAAACTCCAATACTTTGGCCACCTGATGCAAAGAGCTGACTCATCTGAAAAGACCCTGATGCCGGGAAGGATTGAAGGCAGGAGGAGAAGGGGACAACAGAGGATGAGATGGCTGGATGGCATCACCAATTCAATGCACATGAGTTTGAGTAGGTTCTAGGAGTTGGTGATAGACAGGGAAGCCTGGAGTGCTGCAGTCCATGGGGTTGCAAAGAGTTGGACATGACTGAGTGACTGAACTGACTGAATCTTGACTTCCCTTCTGCAACTGTCTAAAAGTTTATAAAACTGATTTAGTCTTAGTAAGTTTACTTATACATAATGAAAAACATATTAGTATGCCCTCCTTAAGTACCTACTGAGTTTTTCTTGTTTCCTTCTAACACAAGTGATGATGTACAAAAAGATATACACTCTTGCAGAGATATTAAGCCATTAATTGTCTACATTTTGGATTTTCTTAAAAATGGACTACATCATGGCTGGAATAATGGATGCAGTTTACTGTCAAAGTTGATGACAGATAAAGTTTGTCATAAGATCTATGTTGTTATACTTTTCTTTCTATTTTAGCAGCAATATAGAAATCCAAGTTCAACAAACTTGCCAGAAATGGGTAAATTAATAGGATTAGCAATATTTTAATCTGTATGTGAAACGATGATTTTTAAGTTAAAAACAAGGAATCAAGTGTGGAAGAGAAAGTCATTAATCTTACATTTGGGAGAAAATCTATACTGATGGCAGACAAGCAACATGGGTGGTCTAGTGGCATCAGTCAGCAATGCCACCTTTATATAGGCCATTATTCTTCTCAGAAGTGGAAAATATTCTTTACCGTACATGGGACTAAAATATTTTAAGTCATTACCATAATATTATCTTTGTGTAGGCATCCACTATAACGTTTAAACTATAGTTACGGGTCTTATGTGTTTTGCCCAGTGATGAAAAGAGACGTATTTGCTATACCCCAAGTGTGCAAAAAGAGACACACAGGCAGCCCCCAGGGACACAAAGGGCTGCGATGAATGTAAAACACACAGTTGAGAGCCACTATGTCACAAACACTATCTCCAAAGGCAGTTTTCCTTTAAAGATTACCTGAAAAGCATTTTACACAAGGTTATGAAAGTTTACATAATACTTCTCAAAGTATCTTGTAGCCCCAAGTTTTCCCACTTCATAAATATCTTATTAGATCAAACTTTTATAAGCATTCTTGGTAAACATAGCTGAAAATCCCATTTTTAAAATGTATTTTTCAAACATTTTTAAGCATTTATTATAAAATTTTCATTCAGTTATAAATCACTAATGAATCTGACACCTGGTGTACAATATAGTTTATAATCAAGTAATTTGAATAATTAAATAATTAAGTAATTTGATTAAATAAAGCAATTAAAGCAATTAAATGATCTGGGTGAAAAACACAAAAACCCGCTTAAAGACTTTGGTAATCTAAATTAAATTTGTATATAAATTATATGTATGCAAGCATGTAATAATTTAATTTATATTTATAAACTCTAAATGATATATATATGATGTTTGGAAGTATATATACACATATATACATGTGCATATATGCATATATTATTAAAAACTGAGATTGCTTTAAAAGAAAAATATTCAGCATTAATTATCTAGATTCTAGTCTATTCTAATGATGAAAAACTTTAGAGTTTAACCTTATGAAATCGTGACTAATTTTTAAAAATATTTTCCTGGTAAAACTCAAAACAATACAAACTGATTTACAATTCTGTTTCTTAAACTTGTTTAAAAGTGTCTATCCTGTAAATAGTATGATTCTCATATTTAAAAGCAAGAATAACTGCTAACTTATAAAATCAATACTTACAAAACTTCAAACAAAATCAAGAACTTCAGAATTGGGAAGATAAAATGTGAATTATTTGAAAAAGTAAATAGAATTTGACTTAAGTACCTTTCAGTAAGAGTATCATTAGTTATAATACAACTTTCTAGAATAATATATAATCACACACATGTATTCTGAACAGTCACCAAAATATAATATATTCTATTAGCTACTGATGGGATTTACTGCCTGCCTTACCCTAACAGGTTCACTTCATGAAAATACAAGAAACTCCCCCCAAAAAAGTCACAGTAACAGAGTATGGACTTTTCTTATTTATCAAAATAAGCATTCATTTGAGTTAGATATCTGGTTTATGCTGTAACAAAATTTAAGTGATATAAAGATCACAATAAAATAGTTTCCAAACAATAAATAAATTAATATGACCTTTATAGAGATGGCTTCAAAATGTATAACCCCTCTCCACTCCAGGGATTTATTTAACCTAAATGTTTCATAATTTTTATCTTTCTCTTTAATTCCTATTTACAATAATTAGATTATAAAATGTTTTTTGTAATACCTACTGTCAGAGCGAGTAAACGTAGGATTTCTAAGCTCACACCATTAGCTTATTTCAGAAAAAAAAGTTCTTAAACACTGCACATAATTATCACAATTTTTGCTTTGCTTTGAGTGTCTCAAAAATTCAAATTTAACATTCTTGAAGAAAATATGTAAGTCATATCCACAGATATATATGGAAATATTTAAAGTACTACATGCTGTTTTTCTCATGACATTTGTCAATCAGTGTCACTGTGACAATATATCGGCACATATGCCATTAATGCCAAACAAGTAAATACCTTCATCTTTTCATAAGAGAAAATTGCACATTTTCTCCCACAATAAACAGTCAGCTATACCACAAAGTACTCTAATAATCTTCAGAGAAGAACATCTTTTATCTCTGGTTTCCAAGTCTTGACAAACTATGTTTTGCAACATTCACACATTAGCTTGTGCTCCGTGACCATGATGAAACCTCACAGATTTTAAAACTGCTCTAAGCGCACAGATAAGAGCAAATTTGCTGAGGCAGTGACCAATCCACAGCACAGGCCCAGAAGAAACACAGTCATCAACGCCCTGGCTGTGTTCTTCCTCCCAGGGCACTGTCTTGGACTGACACTGTCACCACATCATCCTTCAGATTTCCCATGTAAACTGGGAAACAGCTAAACAAAGAGGCCATACCAGAAGGGGCTCGTCGGGGGCACTGGTGGCGAGCTCGGCGGACGCTGTGCGCACAGTGCTGAGCCCGGTAAGGGAGACATTCGAGAGCCTTCTCCGCCTCACGCCACTGCAGTTGTTGGGGATTTTAAATGCACATCTCTTGTGGTAATTCAGCCCACATCCTAGAAGGAGAAAGCAAAAATGACTTTTGTTCAAGGATAAATTAAAAGCTACTCCAGTATATGGTATAACTTATGAATTTTGAGAAATAGTACTACTTCCATTTTTCTTCAGGCTGTTTGAAAATTTAAATTTTCTCTTAAGCTTTTTCTGCGCTTTATCATCCCAATATGTCAATAAGCGGGGTTTTGAAATCTGATGTTAATGGATGAGCTCAGCAACCAGTCTGGTTATCAGTTTTAAACATGTTTTCTAACATAAAGGACTTGGTCTTTGAGGGATCCAGCAACAAAACTCCAAAGAGATGACCTATTTTTAGCTGCTATAAGTTCTATTGTGAGGGAAAATTAATCATAATGTTTCACAACTTCTGAACTATACTGATTGAATCAAGACTCCACAAAACTTGTTTGTCTACCTGGCCTTGGACAATTTACTTCACCTCAGTCTTTCTGTTGGTAAAATGGGGATAACAACTACCTTGTAGAATCATTAAGAAAATACGTAAAATATTTCACATGCTAGTTTCCACAGGTAAATCATTAGGAAAGCACTGTTTTTCTCTCAACATTTTTACTGTTCATAGTTCTCACATTGTAATTTTACCTCAAAATTTTCCCATGTGTCACATAGTAGACACATTTTCATACAACTACCCTTTAGGCAGACTTTCTTCTACCTTTTTACAAACAAATATTCAGAAATTATGGTTACCTTATTTATAGGATTCATCATGAAAGCTTGGGTTTTTTGGTCAACAGCTCTGTCCCTCCCTACTCCACCTCTTAAATAGTAAAATCAGGGTATAATCTGGTTTGTTTTTAAGAATACATCATGGTGTTCTAGAAATCGAATTGAGCAGTTCAAGGAGTTCTGTCCATAGAAGACGACACAACCATGATCTTGGTGTGGAAAGCTTGGTACATGCTCCAGCCGGTCACTTGACAGCTGAGTGATCTTGGATGGTTTGATTAAACTTCTGAATCTTAGCTCATTTCAACAAACATTTATTGAATACTTATCATTCCAAGTTCTAGCTTAAGATATAAATTGTAATGTTTAGTATGATCGACAGCTTATAAGAGTGAAACATATCCACACAATACAGGGGGAAAGATAGGAGAATCTGGTTTCCCAGATCAGAGTTAGTATGTTGAAGACAGGAAATGAACAGAATAGAATCCACACACTCCCCAGATCCATGGAAGATATCTGAGGGAAAGAAATGGCAGGAAAAGGTCGCAACACAAGCAGGTAACCCCAGCACGTATTCCGTTGGGCTAGGAAGGGAAATAACTTTACCTTCGCATTTAAGGCCTTGACGCACCAGCCCCCAAAGCATTTCTCCACAGTGATCACAGAAAGCTGGAGCTCTGTATGAATGAACAAACAGAGTGTGGGGGCGAATCTGAAAGTCTTCAAAGGTGGCGGAAGCTGTAAAAATAAAAAAACATTGAAAAATAAGTTGAATGAACACCCTCATCTGTAGATAATTTGTATGCATGATAATTACTACGCAAGTGTGTATATAACTCTCGGCAAAGTTAGGAAAGATGCAATACTGCTTGACTTTCAGCCATTCTACTCCATTCTTCCCAACCACAGCTTTACAAGTGGTGGCACAGGAACCTCTTCCTTGTCTTCCTGCTTCGAAGGTCTCAGACCACTTCAAAAATAGCCCAACGGATACTTGTATACGTGTGGCTGAGTCTGCTTTCTACCTGAAACTATCACAACACTGTTAATCAGCTATACTCCAACATAAAATAAGTTTAAAAAAATAGCCAAAATACTAGAAGAATGAATGAAAGGATAAGTCAACTTGATTTATAGATAGGGGATGTTACTTGAAAATACTTTGCTTCTTCTCTTACTTTAAATGAACCCAAGGTATTCAGAAATATTAAAGGAAAAGAAACTCTTGATGAATTTTATTTAGACAGATCAGAAGAAAGTGTACTTGAATATGACCTTGAAGAGCGGTACAGTAGAAGGGTGAGGTCCAAGTGGAACATAAGAAATCTAAGCAGCCTCTTTTGGGGAGATAAAGTTGTTTGAACTCTTATGCAATATAACCAAGCATTTAAATCCTGACCTAAAAATAACAAGCTGCCTCTTCACCAACATGCCAAACAGAGGGATTTAATATATACACTGCTGAACTTCAGTCCACTTTGAAAAATATACTTTAGTAAATCATATTCATGCTATAGGGTATTTTTATTATTGCTTATTGCTATTTATTCTATATGATGTTCATATAGAGTATTGAAATTCATTATATTTTAATTATACTTTTCCATAGGATTTTTAAATTATGTTTTGAAAATATGTTTCTTTTGCTGTTGCTTAAATCAAGAAATAGAAAGGTGCAGAGAATACAAAGTGAAAGGCCACCCCTTTCTCCCAGATTCTGATAAGTGGGGCTGTATTTTCTAGACCTATTTGCACACATAGCCTGATCCTGAGGCTGCCGAGGATAGCCCAGGAAGAGCTGACCACAGACTGAGAAGAGCTGGGGGGGCTTTGCCATTACCTGAGGGACACCTCACTTAATCGTCATGAGCCTCCGTTTCCCACACATAAAAAGAACAGTCTGACTGACGGTGACTTCTCTTAACCCCTGAAGCGTAAACTTCCATTAATCTTAGAAGAGGACCAGGTGCACTTAATTTCATAAGGTTTTATGCAAAGAGAATTCTGTGGGAAACTGAGGTCTTACATGGATCATTCTATTCTGCCTTCCCTTCTCTGCCTCCTGTTGGTCTTCTTGCCTCGCTTTTTCAACACTTATTAAACGCCTTTTCCATGTTGTCTGTCAATGGCACCAATCCAGTCTAAAAATGTAAAGATAAGTAAGACATATTTACAGAGCCTACCAGACCAGCAGAAGACCAGATAAAAAGAAATTTTAAAAACTCCATAATAACTTTTAAATAACTTAAAGTAACTTTTTAAGGTTCAAAGAAGCTACAGTTTGGCCTAAGTTACTAAATAGGACTGAGACTACAGCCCACAAGTGTTTTGTCTCCAATCCAGGCTCCTTTTCATCATTCCTGTGTTACATCGTATCTTTCCTAACTCTGCCTCAAGAGTTATACCCAAAAGCCCCACTGTGCCAGAAATAAACATCTGCAGTTTTCCTGCTGGTGCCTCGGATAGCAGGTATGGGGCAACGAATCGCCTGTGGAGAATACTTATGAAGTGCTTACCTTGCTAAGTATGCAAAGTGTGACAGAGTGAATGCTGAAGCTGTAGGCCACTCACCCCTGCTAGCTAAGTGTCCAAAACTAGGAGGACAACTTTGAGAGTATCATATCCCCCAGGGCGAATGAAAACAGAACATGCAGGAAAGTGAAACACTTCAATCAGAAAGAATACTACTGATGGTTCGCAGAACATATAATTGGACCACAAAAGGAGATGGAAAATTTTAATGGGTTGGTTTTCCCTTGAATCTTGAATAAAAGTACTTTATTCCAAATTAATGTGCTTTATTATTGGAAATAAACTATCAACTTATTAAAGGTACAATTTTTACTCAATGGAAAGATAACGAGAATGATAATACGGTTAAGGTTTATTGTACTCTTACTGTATACTGGACACTACACTAAGAGATTAAAGTGTGGGAAGAAGGAGCTAATCAAAGAATTGTAGCCAAGTAACCTGCTCTAGCATTACCTACAAGGAGTTCTGATTAATGTTAATATTTCTTACAAAAGGAATTTCAATTGAAATAAGATTGAGAAATTGCATTATTATGTTTCTCACTTCAAGTTTCACAATATTATGGTCAATGCTTATTCTAAGTAAATCAGTAAAAAGGTATGGTTTGAGTACCAATCAATTTGCTTTTATAATCTGGTCAAAATGTGTCTAATTTTGTAAATGCTAAATCCTCCTTAAAATTGGTCTCTCACCATCATGGACAAAAATTGTTTTTAAGACATCAAAGAAAATAGCTAAAGAAAATATTTTGTGCCAACCATTAACTCCTAACTTCTCCCCTGCCTCTCCCTCCACTCCCTACTCCCACTGAATGACACCCAAACAACTATGGCAATACCATGATAGCAATTAGTTAAATAAATTACGGTAGTTTTCAAAATAAGGAAACTTAGTAACTGACAATACTAATACCTAGCTGCATTCAGATTTTTTGAATTAATCAGAAAGAATATAAATAATTAAAAACATTTTCAAAGACACCCCCAACCCAATTTATGTCAGGTACATTTGTTTGTTCACTTTTTGAAGGGGATTAACATTCATAAGCAGTTAGCACCCTTGACTTATGTTTAAATGCCATTTTCTAAAGTTCAATTTTAATTTTAGAATAATTAAATACATTTTTAAAATAAAACTACCAAGTATGGTGAGGTTTCACATGCATTTGAAATCAAAGCACAACATCAATTCATTATGAATTTACCTGTTTCTGCACCCTGGGGGAAATCAGCATTAGCTGAGTGTATGCATGCCATCTTGCCTAATCACAAAATTGCACTGCAGAGATAATCACTTAGCACAGGAAAACAAAGTGCATGCTGTAATTCCATTTCACTTAAGGTTTGGAAGCAAAATGGACAGAGGAGAACAGGAACATTAAAGTGTTTAGAGATTCCAAGAGAGGACAATGTGCTATCTGTCTGGATGTCACAATCAATCAGGTGACCTAAATTAAAACCATAAGACAAGGCTACCCACTGAACACAATGGGCCCCTTATACTGGTATTTGTATCTCTGATTTGCTCTATTCACAGTCTATTGTTATACTCCGTGGTACAGGAGAGGAGAAAATGACATGCTTTCCTTAGTCACTGAGCATTTGAAACAGGTAATTGAGCCAAAAACTCTAAGATAATCAGTACTTCTTTTAAGGCTCATTAGAAATTGTTGCACAAAATGGAATAAACTGTTTGGTTAGCAGTACAGAAGAAATTAAGCTTCGGAAGCAAAATAAATAATCTCTGGAGGTCAAATTTATTTGCATAATAAAATAAAATAATGTCCCATCTTACAAGATTTTCAGTTAATTTCTCTTACTGGTAATTTTGGCAACTGGGGAGAAGCATTAACTCTTTCTGGCACTGACCGTTTGGAACAGGTATAAGAAGAAGAAAAGCTTAACACATTTCACGTTATCATCTCATTCAATTTTTCACAAGGACTTTATGAAGTAGATATTATTATTCCACTTTAAAGATGAGAAAATTGAGTCCCAGAAAAATTAAGGAGCTGTCCTAGGTGACACAGCATCTTGATTCAATCTGACACCTGAACCATACGAACTCTTAATAATCATCATATTCTCTGACCATTGAAATTCTGTCGATTATAAATTTTCTGCATATTTAATGAATCACTAGGAAAAGATTCAGAAAAAAAAAAAAAGAAAGAAAGAAACACTGCAAGTAAATATAACACACCCTAAAGGCTTCCCGGTGGCTCAGACGGTAAAGAATCTGCCTCCAATGCAGGAGACCTGAGTAGTCTCTAGTTTGGAAGATCCTCTGGAGGAGGGCATGACAACCCATTCTAGTATTCTTGCCTGGAGAATTCCCATAGACAGAGGAGCCTGGTGGGAGCTACAGTCAGTGGGGTCGCAAAACTTGGACACAACTGAGTGATAAGCACATTGAAATGTGTGTCCTTACCACAGAGTTGCAAAAAAAAAAAAAATACTGAGGAAAAATGTCCATGAAATAACATATAGAATGAAATTAATTCAGCTTATGATCAATATTCATAAAACTAAGATCATGGCATCCGGTCCCATCACTTCATGGCAAATAGATCGGGAAACAGTGGAAACAGTGGCTGACTATTTTGGGGGGCTCCAAAATCACTGCACATGGTGATTGCAGGCATGAAATTAAAAGCTTGCTCTTTGGAAGGAAAGTTATGACCAACCTAGACAGCATATTAAAAAGCAGAGACATTACTTTGCCAACAAAGGTCCGTCTAGTCAAGGCTATGGTTTTTTCCAGTGGTCATGTATGAATGTGAGAGTTGGACTATAAAGAAAGCCGAGTGCCAAAGAATTGATGGTTTTGAACTGTAGTGTTGGAGAAGACTCTTGAGAGTCCCTTGGACTGCAAGGAGATCCATCCAGTCCATCCTAAAGGTCCTGAGTGTTCATTGAAAGGACTGATGTTGAAGTTGAAACTCCAATACTTTGGCCACCTGATGCGAAAAGCTGACTCATCTGAAAAGACCCTGATGCCGGGAAAGATTGAAGGCAGGAGGAGAAGGGGACAACAGAGGATGAGATGGTTAGATGGCATCACCAACTCAATGGACATGAGTTTAGGTAAACTCCAGGAGTTGGTGATGGCCAGGGAGGTCTGACATGCTGCGGTTCATGGGGTCGCAAAGAGTCGGACACAAATGAGCGACTGAACTGAACTGATGATCAAAAATCCTTTTA